CCCCCCGCCGGCCGCGGCTGACGCGCCCGCTGGTGCCGCTTCGCAAGCTGCAGCGGCTAGGGGAGGCGCTGTCGCAGACGCGCGGCGTGGGGGCGGTGGCGCGAGTGGACTCTGTGCTGCTGGGGCGGCTGCTGGGGGCGCTGCAGGGGCACGTGGAGCTCGGGCTTGACCACGTTGTGGCAGAGGATGAGGAGGTGTGGTGATGACCTGCTTGGGGAGGGCTGCGGTGACTGGAACCTGCTTGGGTGGGTCGGAGGCTGGGGGCCGAATCGCCTGGATTGAGTTGTCACATGGAGGTTGTTGCACGGCAACCAAGGTGCGACGGGCTGCGGCATGCATACGACATTCTGCCCAGCATGGAACTGCATATGCCTGTACAGAATCCATTCGGTGGCGCCGTGCACTACCCTCGCTCTAAAGGCTTAATCTTAACGCCTCTTTCACCCTGCATGCCCGCCCCCAGCCTGGCTGCCCTGCATATGACGCAGTGGCAGCAGCGCTCGAGGCGGCCTCCTGCTGCCTGCAGGTGCGCTGGCGCCTTGGCCCGCTGTCACCAAGCTTTGCCTCATGCATTCGTGCTTGCACTGCCGCAACCTCCTTGCCGTCCTGCATCTGTTAAAAGCCAGCTGGGGGCGATTGAAGCGTCACCTGTGCTATCTTTATGACCCTTCCCCCACCCCTTGTGCCCGCCGCCGAAGGTCCTGTCAGCGCCCGGGCTGCCGACCCAGCTGTATCGAGAGGAACTGGTGACGGCGCTGGTGTCACTCGTCAAGTTCCACTTGCAGGTGGATGATCTGTCTCCAGCAGCCTTTTGCTTATAACCCAATTGAGATTAGCAGTGCAACCCTGCACCGCTGGTAATGTCCTGAGCGGAGACCCCCTCCCTCACGAATGAAGCTGAGCAGGCGCATTTACCCCATTGCACCGCCATCCAACCCCCGGTCACTGCGCAGTACAACCTCTTGGTTCTGTACGACCTCAAGTACCGCCGCCTGTATCGGCCCAGCAGCATGTCACTCAACGCGGACGGGGATCATGCAGAGGTGGGCATGTGTGTGTGTGTGTGAGTGTGTGTGTGTGAGTGTGTGTGTGGGTGCATGTGAATATGTGTATGTACGCGCATGCGTGTGTGTGTATGGGCAAGGTAGGGTCAAGGGGCGGACTGGGTTGCGATGGGATTGGCCTCACCAGGCAAGGGCGTGCTCCCCGCGTCCATGTCAGGCTCGGGCCATGGAATGGACAATTTCAAGCGCATGCATGCTCAGGGCCACCGGTCATCCCTGCTGCTCGCCGCTGCTTGAACGCCCCCCCCCCTGACGCGCAGGGCGCGGAGCGCAAGGGCAAGGGGGCGCAGCCCAAGAAGCAGCCGAAGCTCCTCAAGCAGGCGTCGCTCGCCAAGTGGGTGCCGCGGCGCCGCTTTGGGCAACACAAACCCAACACGACAGCCATACTGATGCTGGAATTGAAGAGCACTGACCAAACACATGCACCTACTGAGCCCAGTGCGAACGTTCCTCACGTCCACCCTTGGTTGCCCCGCACCCTGCGATCCCCTCCAGGGTGACGCACGCGCTGGCAGCGCTGCAGGGCCGCGTCGAGCTGCTGCTCTCCCTGCTGTCGCGCGCGTTGGGCCGCTGCCGCGCGGAGCCGGAGCTGCTCCTGCCGCTGGGGCGCGTGGCGATGCAGGTCTTGCCGCTGGAGGGGGCCGGCGAGGGGTTGGCGCTGCTGCAGCTGCAGGCGGCAGGTGAGGGGGTGCTCGCCACCAAGGCTGGGCTGGCCGTTTGCAGAGCCTGTTGCGCGCAGCAACAGGGTTTCAAATTGAACAGTCCTCCTGTCCAGGCTGTTCGTTCTTGGCACCGGCTTGTTGCTGGCCTCTGGTCCAGCCGTCTGAGCTGCACGCCCCTGCGTCCCCCCTTTTATGAATGCGCCCTCTGCCCTCAGC